TTCCCCAGATTTCGTGGCGCCTCTTCTTGTCTCATTACGTCCCTGGCCCCCCCGCTGGGCCGCGCACATGCCGCCGGTCATGATTCGCGCCCCCCCCTCTTGGACACCCCCCTCTTGGCCGCTCCCGAAGAGCACTGTGTGCATCCCCTGGGGCACCATTGTGTCCTATCCCCGCCGCCGACGCTTTGGCTGGCCGCCCGAAGTGGGTACAGCTCAAGGGGCCCAGGGGCGCACAAATAAATGCACGCAAATACCAGGATTCCCCGAGTAGAGCATGGGTCTGGCCGAGACGCAGATGGGTCTAGACCTGGTGGTGCTCTCTGGCAAGGGGCAAGGCCGTGTCGAAGATGGACAGCAAGTTCATCCTTCTGGGCCCAGTGGTGGACGATGCGCGGGATCGCCCTTGGCTGCGGGATGCAGCAGCGACCGCTACCCTCACGGCGGCTATCACGGAGGTAGTCTGCGAGGTGAAGAATGGCGTGTTCGGTTGCCTTGGGCACCCTCGCAAGCAGCACGGGCACGGCCAAGACGAAGAAACACGGCAACTTCGTCGGAACACCCTCGGTGAGGGACCAGCGCCGGGGAAGGTCTCCGTGAAGCAGGGCCGTGAGGCTTCGGGATTGGGGCTTGGGGTGGGGAAGGGGGTGGGCGGCCCCGTCCTGCGGTGCTGGGCCCCCTGGGTTTCGGCCTCCCCTGCGCGGGGGGGAGGCGAGACCACAGGGAGCGCCTTGGGCGCTGTCTCCGGTTTTCGAAGCACTAAGGGGGGGGACCGCCCCCCTCCGCGGGATGCGAGGCGCTTTAGACGCATGTTCTGATCCACCTGATCCACCTCCTCCTCCTCCTCCTCCTCCTCCAGTTATTTTTCCTCCTATTCCTCATCCCGCCTTCCTGTCCTCCTCCTCCTCCTCCTCCTCCTCCTCCTCCTCCTCCTCCTCCTCCTCCTCCTCCTCCTCCACCCCCTCCTCCTATTGCCCTTTCGGCCCGAGCTGCCTCGGGGTTCGGCGCGCGCCTCTCGAGGGGGCGCAGCGCGCCGGAGACCGGCGACGCGGGCGCGAGCACGCGCGCGAGCACGGGTCCGGCCGAGAGACGAAGACGTAGAGCTCGGGCGGCGGAAAAGAGGGGGGCGATGATTAGGGGGGTGGATATCATGGCGGGGGCCATGATACTTCCCCAGATTTCGTGGCGCCTCTTCTTGTCTCATTACGTCCCTGGCCCCCCCGCTGGGCCGCGCACATGCCGCCGGTCATGATTCGCGCCCCCCCCTCTTGGACACCCCCCTCTTGGCCGCTCCCGAAGAGCACTGTGTGCATCCCCTGGGGCACCATTGTGTCCTATCCCCGCCGCCGACGCTTTGGCTGGCCGCCCGAAGTGGGTACAGCTCAAGGGGCCCAGGGGCGCACAAATAAATGCACGCAAATACCAGGATTCCCCGAGTAGAGCATGGGTCTGGCCGAGACGCAGATGGGTCTAGACCTGGTGGTGCTCTCTGGCAAGGGGCAAGGCCGTGTCGAAGATGGACAGCAAGTTCATCCTTCTGGGCCCAGTGGTGGACGATGCGCGGGATCGCCCTTGGCTGCGGGATGCAGCAGCGACCGCTACCCTCACGGCGGCTATCACGGAGGTAGTCTGCGAGGTGAAGAATGGCGTGTTCGGTTGCCTTGGGCACCCTCGCAAGCAGCACGGGCACGGCCAAGACGAAGAAACACGGCAACTTCGTCGGAACACCCTCGGTGAGGGACCAGCGCCGGGGAAGGTCTCCGTGAAGCAGGCCGTGAGGCTTCGGGATTGGGGCTGGGGGGGGGAGGGGGGGCGGCCCCTCCTCGGTGCTGCCCCTGGGTTCGGCCTCCCCTGCGCGGGGGGGAGGCGAGACCACAGGGAGCGCCTTGGGCGCTGTCTCCGGTTTTCGAAGCACTAAGGGGGGGGACCGCCCCCCTTCGCGGGATGCGAGGCGCTTTAGACGCATGTTCTGATCCACCTGATCCACCTCCTCCTCCTCCTCCTCCTCCTCCAGTTATTTTTCCTCCTATTCCTCATCCCGCCTTCCTGTCCTCCTCCTCCTCCTCCTCCTCCTCCTCCTCCTCCTCCTCCTCCTCCTCCTCCTCCTCCTCCTCCTCCTCCTCCACCCCCTCCTCCTATTGCCCTTTCGGCCCGAGCTGCCTCGGGGTTCGGCGCGCGCCTCTCGAGGGGGCGCAGCGCGCCGGAGACCGGCGACGCGGGCGCGAACACGCGCGCGAGCACGGGTCCGGCCGAGAGACGAAGACGTAGAGCTCGGGCGGCGGAAAAGAGGGGGGCGATGATTAGGGGGGTGGATATCATGGCGGGGGCCATGATACTTCCCCAGATTTCGTGGCGCCTCTTCTTGTCTCATTACGTCCCTGGCCCCCCCGCTGGGCCGCGCACATGCCGCCGGTCATGATTCGCGCCCCCCCCTCTTGGACACCCCCCTCTTGGCCGCTCCCGAAGAGCACTGTGTGCATCCCCTGGGGCACCATTTTGTCCTATCCCCGCCGCCGACGCTTTGGCTGGCCGCCCGAAGTGGGTACAGCTCAAGGGGCCCAGGGGCGCACAAATAAATGCACGCAAATACCAGGATTCCCCGAGTAGAGCATGGGTCTGGCCGAGACGCAGATGGGTCTAGACCTGGTGGTGCTCTCTGGCAAGGGGCAAGGCCGTGTCGAAGATGGACAGCAAGTTCATCCTTCTGGGCCCAGTGGTGGACGATGCGCGGGATCGCCCTTGGCTGCGGGATGCAGCAGCGACCGCTACCCTCACGGCGGCTATCACGGAGGTAGTCTGCGAGGTGAAGAATGGCGTGTTCGGTTGCCTTGGGCACCCTCGCAAGCAGCACGGGCACGGCCAAGACGAAGAAACACGGCAACTTCGTCGGAACACCCTCGGTGAGGGACCAGCGCCGGGGAAGGTCTCCGTGAAGCAGGCCGTGAGGCTTCGGGATTGGGGCTGGGGGGGGGCGGTCCCTCCTCGGTGCTGCTCCTGGGTTCGGCCTCCCCTGCGCGGGGGGGAGGCGAGACCACAGGGAGCGCCTTGGGCGCTGTCTCCGGTTTTCGAAGCACTAAGGGGGGGGACCGCCCCCCTTCGCGGGATGCGAGGCGCTTTAGACGCATGTTCTGATCCACCTGATCCACCTCCTCCTCCTCCTCCTCCAGTTATTTTTCCTCCTATTCCTCATCCCGCCTTCCTGTCCTCCTCCTCCTCCTCCTCCTCCTCCTTCTCCTCCTCCTCTCCTCCTCCTCCTCCTCCTCATCCTCCTCTCTCCTCTCCTCCTCCCCTCCTCCCCCTCCTCCTCCCCCTCCTCCTCCTCCTCCTCCTTCTCCTCCTCCTCCTCCTTCTCCTCCTCCTCCTCCTCCTCCTCCTCCTCCTCCTCCTCCCCTCATCCTCCTCCGCCTCCTCCTCCTCCCTCCTCCTCCTCCTCCTCCTCCTCCTCCTCCTCCTCCTCCTCCTCCTCCTCCTCCTCCTCCTCCTCCTCCTCCTCCTCCTCCTCCTCCTCCTCCCAGCCCGCTGGTCGCGCCGCGAGGCCTTCTCCGAGCGGAAGAGCGGAGAGCTCCCCGTGAACCGCAAGCTCCTCGCCAAGAACAGCAGCTCCGGCACGACCCTCGCGAGCTCCTCGCAGGAGATCCGAGAGGCGGGGCCCCGCCCCGTGCGGAAGACGGGGGGAGGGAGCAGGACGGGGAGGGGGAGGGGGGAGGACTGGGGGGGAGGGAGGGAGGGAGCAGCACGGGGAGGGGGAGAGAAGGAGAGGGTGAGGGAGCAGGACGGGAAGGGAGAGGCAGGGACGCAGGACGGATAATTAGGCCGAGGGGGCGTGCTTTCCAACTTTCGCTCCTCGTGCTTGGGTCGGGGGCGCTCGCCCGCGATGCACGGGGAGTTCAGGATCCTGCAGCTCGTGGGACTCCTGACTCACGCGCCTGGCCCTGGTGCCAGGGCTGCGGAAGGAGACGGAGGGAGGGAGGTGGAGGGAGGGAAGTGGATGGGGACGGGCGGGGCAGGCCACTAGATCCCCTCTACCGCGGTGTGCGCAATGTGAGGGTGGAAGCGGTCTGCAGCGGAAGAGAGGACGGCGGAGGAGCAGGAGGTTGTGCAGGAGGAAGCGGAGGAGGACGCGGACGAAGGCGGCATCATGCGGATGAGGCGAAGGGAGAGGGATGCCGGTGGAGGGCGAGTGAGAGGAGGAGAGGGAGAGGAGGACGAGGAGGACGGAGGGGTCAGGTGTGTTTCGGCCAGATCGCGGAGGAGAAGTCGGTCGGTTGGGCACCGCATTGCTCCTCCTCCCCCTCCACAATTTCACAATATGCATACTACTCTCCTCCATCCCCTGATGGCGTGCGGAAGACAGCGGGCACCCCTCCGCGTACTGTTTTTTGATTTCCCGGAGTTGGGTTTTCGCTAGGTTTTTTTCAAAATGATGCTGTCGCTGAGGCGCGGGCTTCATTTTCGGGCTTCCGCTCGTTCCGAATCGTGCTCCCGCTGCAGCGCTGGCCTCATTTCCGCGCTTCCGCTCGTTCCGAATCGTGCTCCCGCTGCAGCGCTGGCGTCATTTCCCGTGCCATGCCACGGCATGCAATGCAATGCTAGGTTGCGTTCCGCTGCGCGATGCCATGCCTTCAACTGCAGCTGTCATATCATGTGCTTAAGTGCCACGTTATGCTATGCCATGCTCCGCTTTGATATTCAACGCCATGCTATGCAATGTTATGTTCGGGACCGCTGTGCGATGCCATGCTTTGCGTTGCAAAGCTTTGTGATGCAATTCTTCTTTACGCCACGCCACGCCATGCTGTGACATACTACGTTTTGCGGTGCTCTTCTACGCCATGCCATGCCGTGCTCTACAATGCATCGCGTACCCTTTCGGGATCATTGCCCTGCTCGACATCCGACTGTGCGAGTAGAGAGGGGATCTACGCCATGGTAAGGGATGGGAGGGAGGGGTCGGATGTCAGATAGACGCGAGCTCCTCTCCTCCTCCTCCTACCTCCTCCTCCTCATCCCCTCCTCTCCTCCTCCTCTCCTCCTCCTCCTCCCCTCTCCTCCTCCTCCTCCTCCTCCTCCTCCTCCTCCTCCTCCTCCTCCTCCTCCTCCCCCTCCTCCTCCCCCCCCTCCTCCTCCCCCTCCTCCTGCTCCTCCTCCTCCTCCTCCTCCTCCTCCTCCTCCTCCTCCTCCTGCTCGCTTTCATCGATTCGCCTGGTCCGCCCTGGGCAGAGTGCTGCACGGTCCGCCCCGTGTAGCACAGCTTCTTGTGAGCTCCTGCAGGAGCAAGTGCAATCACGAGGCCGCTCTGGTGGGTCCTCCTGGGCGCGAGCAGCCTCGGCCAGGCAGGACGGCTTCCAAGAAGCCCCCGAGTGGGCACACCCAGCATCGGGTGGCATGGGCGCAGCCCTGGTACTGTCGCTTCTGCTGGGCGCCGTCTGGTGATCGCTGGTGGAACGCCGCTGACATGCTGGCCTGCAAGAAGTGCCAGCGCTCCTAGGGCCAGCGCTTCCACTCCCAGCGGACGCCCAAGTCGCCATCCGTCTCCGCCAAGGACCAGGCAGCTTCTGCCGAGGTGCGCAAGCTCCAGCAGGAGCTCAAGCAGGCGCACGCCGAGCGTGACAAAGCCAGGTCGGAGGCAAAGGAGGCGAAGGCAGCGGCTGCCAAGCCCGACCCGTTCGGCATGGAGGTCGACGTCGTGCAGCTGGAGGCCGGGGTCGAGTCGTCCCGGGTCAAGGAGCTGCGTGGCTTGCTCAGCCAGTTCGAGGGTGCCAGCGACTCGTCGGGCCAGGTGGCGAAGATGCGCCAGGACTGGACGGCCGAGCTCGAGCAGCTGCAGTCCAAGCAGATGGGCCAGAAACCGCTTCCTGTCCAGATCCAGCAGCTCACGCAGCAGATCAAAAGGGCTTGAGCGCAAGGCAGATGCCAAGCGCGAGGCCATGGCCAAGCTCCAGGACCAGGTGCGCGCCGCCCAGGCGCATTTTGACGAGGTGGCGTCGGAGGCCGCCTCCATCTAGAAGGAGATTGCGGTGCTGGAGGCCCACCGCGCGGAGGTGGCGGTGCAGTTCCCGCAACCTGCGACTGTCGTTGACGGCGTCAAGGCCTCGCTCGACTCCGTGCTGCCGAGTGTCGGGCTTTCTGCGGCACAGATGGTCGAGGTGCTCGGGACCTTCTGTGCCGACCCGCAGCTGGCCCAGGAGTTGCACAGCGTGGCTGGGCGCGTGCGCGAGGCTGCGGTGCGAGCGCAGGCTGAGCGGCAGGCGGAGCTGGAGCGGCAGCGTGCGCAGGCAGCTATGGCGCCAGGTGCGCCTGCGCCAGCGGCGACGCCAGGCGCCCCTCCGCCGGTGGCGGTGCCTGCGGCCGCACAGCCGCCTGCTGCTGGGGTCCTTCGCATCCCGGTGGCCTCTGGCGTCGGGGCTGGCACTCCTGAGGTGCTTCGGGCCTTTCGCAGGGCAGTGGGGCAGGAGGTGCCGACCGACGAGGCCGATCTTCGCGAGACGGCCAAGCGCTTCTCCGAGGATCTCGAGAGCCTTGCCAAGCGCCAGCGCCTTCAGGGGCCAGCTGCGGAGGCCTCTGCGTAGACCAGCCATCGGCCTCGTCATCATGATGATGTCTGCTGTGGATGTGGTCTCTGCCGTCGTCCTCGTGGGCGGTAATTTTGTTTCTGCGCCGAGCCACGCGTTGCCTCCAGTCACGTGGGCACGGCGTCACGGCGGGCCCCCGGACCGTGACGCCGCGACGCCCAGCGGGCCCCTGGGCCGTGACGCCGCGACGCGTGGCACGGCCGCGCTTGGCCCCGCGGCGCACGATCCTGATGGTTTGGCTCCTGGGCCTCCCGCGGAGGCAGCGGCGCCTGTGGTCAAGGGCCTCGTCTCATCCGCCAACGTCTCGTCCTACGGGGCGCTGGAGGCGCTGCTGGGGCCCTCGTTCACCAGCACCGTCGTGCTGGTCCAGGAGCACCACGCTGGCCTCGGCAAGGTGGAGGCGTTGCAACAGCGGGTCCGCAACCTGGGCTACCACGGGGCGCGGGATGCTGCTCCTCCGTCTGATGGGGGCGGCACCCATGGAGGCTGCGCGGTGCTGGCCAAGGCGGGCATCCAGGTTACGACGCCGCCGCTGCACCCGACTGGCTGCCTGACCCCAGGGAGGGCCACGGCAGGGCACGTGCGCTGGGGCGTGGCAGGTGGGATCGTGATGGTCTCTGTCTACCTGCATGGCAGTGCCGGCCTGGACGTCTCCAACCTGGAGATCTGGAGGACGGCAGGCCACTATGTGCTGGACATCGCCAGCCGCGGATTCGCCTGGACCCTCGGAGGCGATTTCAATATGGCCCCGGAGCTGCTGGCCCCGTGGTTCAACTCTGTGGGGGCGGTTCTGCCGTCAACGGCGGCGACTACATGCCGTCAGAAGTTGCCCGGCACCAATCTGGACTACTTCGGGGTGGACGGCCGCCTTCTGAGTCGCATCCAAGTGCCCGAGGTCTACGAGGCAGCGGCCACTTTCCCTCGCAAGCCTGTGCAGCTACCGCTCCTGGCTAGTGACAGGGCGCTCTGGTGCAGGGTGCCGTGGGAAACGAAGGCCGTTGCAGCGATGGCGCCACCTGGCTGCTCCAGGCCACCGGCGTCGCTCTGGCACGCGGTCCAGGAGCAAATTGGAGTTGCGGCAAGCGACGCGGAGCTCAGCCAGTGTTGGGGCGACGTGATTCAAGGCATTGAGCAGGAACTGCGTGGCCGTTACGACCTCGTTGGCCAAGGCTGACAGGCGCAGGCGGGCAGGGCAGGCCCGGTCCGCATGCGCTGGCAGAAGTATGCCTGGCAGCCGCCGCGGCATCGCCCCCCTGATCGGGGCGCTGCGACTGACGCATGGGCTGCGGCTGCTGGCTGGGCGCGGCACCTGCGGCGAGCCAGCGAGAGCCTTAGCAATCGCATCCCGCAGCTCATGGTGGCGAGGGCTGCGGGGGGGCCGTCGGTGGCGGAGGTCTCCAAGCTCGGCGTCTCCCTTCGCGACACGGAGGCTTTCTTCGGGCACCTCCTGAAGCAGAAGTGGGCGTTCTCGGCGGTGGGCCCGTGCGTGGCGGAGTTCTTTGAGCAGAGTTTGATGGCGCTCGCCGGCGCCAACTTCAATGACATGGTCGACTGGCTCATTCATCAAGGTGAATCGAGGGTTGCAGCTTTCGCGGCTGAGCGAGCCAAGACTTGGACGAAGTGGGTCGAGGCCAGCTTCGTTAGAGGCGCGTTGCACGCTCACCGGTTCAGCAAGGCCCGCGCCCTGCAGCCTGCAGACGCGGCCCGGACAGGATGCCAGCCATATGAGCTAGTTGACGACTGCCTGGATGACTGGGCCACGGTCTGGGCGACCCACGGCTGCGTGAGGATGGAGCTACCGCCCGAGGCGGAGTCGCGGGAGCCTCTGCCGACGATTTCGCATGTTGATGTCCGCGCTGCTGTGCGCAACTTTCCTACCAGGACGGCCATTGGTCCTGGGCGCCTGGCCCCATGCAGTCTGTGGCACCTGAGCGACCAAGCGCTGCAGACGGTGTGGCGCTCCTCTTCATGTTGTGCGAAAAACTCTGCTGCTGGCCGCGAGGAAGGGTGGCCACGGAGCTGGTGAGGCTGCCGATGCCGGACAAGCCTGGTGAACACAGGCTGATAGCCC